GGTTCTGTCTTTCCTCCAATAAAAAGTACACCTGGACCTGCGTTTGTTTGTTTCTACTTCCTGTGCTCTCAACCAGCCAGTCAAAGCAGATGGCTGCTTGTCCCGAGTCTGGTTCTGCTGGAGGTTCCTTCCTGTTAAAAAGGAGTTTTTCCTTTCCACTGTTGCCTTTGTGCTTGCTCAGGATGAGAGATTGCAATGAAGTTAAAATTCAACACAACCTGCTGGCTTCCTTAAATAGAGAACTTTTACTAATTGGCTTTTTTATGTATGTGAAAGTTTTTGTACAGTGCTCTGAGACAACTTCTGTTATGACTCGGCTCTATATAAATGAACTGAATTGAGTATAAATGGTGTGGGGACTACCTGATGACCTCACGTTCATCATTAATCTTAGCTGCAAAATGTAGATGGTTTGGAGAAAACTAGAGCAGAAGCATAGGCAGGGTATAGGTTTTGCTTGTAAAAGGAGCAGCTAGAAAAGGGTGTGGTCACTACAGCAGGTGTGCTGTGCTGTCTCTGTGCATGTGGCTTACTGAACTCAACTCTGCACCTTAACCACAGCCTCTCATTGGAGAGAAACACACACACATATTGTAATGAGCGGATATTTGTTATCATGGATGTTTGTCCTCTCAGAAGCTCTAACCTTTAACCTCCAGCCATGGTGACCTGAGCAGAATGGAACGCTTCAGGATTACCCAGAGTCACCCAGCCGTCACATGACCGACGCTCGCAGCTCATTCATGGTTTCAGTATCAATGTCAGCAGAGAAAATGATGGTGGGGGTGGGGGAGAGACAAGTTCTTGTTGTGCAATCACAGGTCAACAAAGCAAGCTTGAAAAAATAAACTTCCTCCTTCTGAGACTGTGACAAGTCTATATACTGATGTGAAACTCTCTGATTGCACATGGATCAACACGCCATGTCTGAAGCGTTGGTGACCGGGCTAGTCATCATAAACATATGACTACCCAAGATACGCCAGCGTTGTCGTGTCACGTGCCACATCCAGAACCGATGCAGCTCACACAACAAGTATTATGTGTTCATGAAACACGTCACCAGATTAACGGAGTATGGCAGCATTTTATTCTCCAAAGAATTAATAACGTCCCTTGTTTAGAAGCCACGCAGCGTGCACTACGTACAACGTTCCTCAACGTGTCCCATACTCCATCAGACACACACCCCAGAGAGCATCCGCAATGGGGAAAACTGAAGATCATAAACCTGTGAAGGATAGTATCTCTTAAAATTCATGCAACTTATCTGCTCTGCTCCTGTAAATTATGCAGTTTGCACTGTTCTAAATGTCTTATTCATTTGGGAATAAATGAGCAGAGCAGAACGACTTCAGAAGCATAAATCCATTATCTGAAAGATAATCAACAACAACAGACCAAGAGTAAATCAGTTTCATTCCCCTGAGAGGGTTTCGACCTCTCTCGAATGACTGACCGTCCAATGATACCAGCGACACTGGAAGACGAAGGAGCTCAGGGCTACAACTGCACATTTCTGCACTCAGTGAACCACACGGTGGTGGGTGGAGGTTTCAAGTGAGAGAGCGAGCAAGGCTGGGGTGGGGTTGGGGGGCTTTAAAACAAAAAGCTGATGTAGCAATCAAACTTACAAAAAGATATGAGGGAAAACAGAAGAAAACAACACAGTCTTCAGACATGTTGATAGGTGACAAGCTATAAAAATAGAAGGGGGATAAGTGAGGCTTCAAATTGTGAGGAGGGAGAAAACAGAGACTACTGCATAGTTACTGCCTAGCAACAGACCATCACTGAGGTTATCTGACTCCTTCTGCTTCCAAGTAGAAGTTTGAGCACAGCACCATCACTGAGGGGCTGAAAATCTTTAACATGATTGTGGTATATGTTTGGATATGGATGGGTGGTGGTGTGGGTGGGGTGGGAGCATTCTGTTATTAAATTAATGTGAGAGAAAGCAAAGTGAGAACTCTTTGCTACTCATATTCACATATCTGTCGCCCATCACCAACGGCGATGATAGACAGTTGTGTTTTTGTCTATGTCTGTGTGTGTTTGTATGTGTTCATGTGTCTGTTAGCAAAATATATCAGGAAGCACTGAACAGATTTTAATGGAAGTTGCAGAAAGTAATCATCAAATGTTGATCTACGACTGATTAACTGCTACAGTCAAACTGATTAAAGATGGCTGACCTTGAAAAAAACAAAACAAAATTGCTATAGGTCA